TCGATACAAATTGCATTATCACGACACCAAATATGCACAACTTAAAATATTATCACGTTTATTTACCATAAATGATAAAATCTGGAGCTTTCTATCTCATTCTACAATTGCATTTGAAAATACTCCAAGTTTTTCAATGAGAAAGAGTGTGAACTTTATCTAGGCTTGCGAAACTTTCTGTTCCAACAATTATGCAAGGTTGAAAAAGGTAACACCGACAACTCATCAAAAGAGTGTGTTATGAGAAGACATTGTGAAATGATGACAAAGAATGCGATGAAACTTTAAAACTGATCAACCACCATACACTTTTGATGTCAGATTGAAAAATGTGGTTAGAAAACCAAGTGATATCTTACCATTCTGTATGTCAGTATGATGAGGGTGCAAAATGTGTGAAATAATATAAAAAAAAACATGAAAATATTTAAATATTTATTCAAATCACTTTAAAACATTTTACATCTCTTTTCTTTATCTTATATGTTTTGCAAGATTGAAAATTCAGTTGGCACTAATAACACAATGGTGATAATTACATTTTTATTCTAAAAGTTTTAAATCTGTTTTTGGTTGCTTTCAGGTAAATCTTAAGCAAATAAATAACTAATTATCATTTGCCATATCTTAATCACTGATCTGGGTATATTTTAAAGTTAGTAAATGTATTAACTTAATATAGAAAAAAACATTTTAGTGAATTATACTCGGCAATTTGCTTATGACCTCGTTATAAGTAATCAAATACGTATATTAAAAGCAGCTATTTCGAAAAATCTTAATAAATTTTGAGCCCAATTTTTTAAGGGACATTTTTTTATTATGAAATTCTACCTTTCACAATAAGATCATTAATGGTACTGAATCTGTCCCTTTTGGCAAAGTAAATGTTCCGTTTATATTAAAAATTCATAGAAAACCAAGATAGAACTAAACATAAATGGAAAAGTTCTTCTGCTTCATGAATACGTGACCATGAATAGCTGATGATGTAAAAATAAATAGATTTTTATTTACAAAATAAAAAAAATTAAGGATATATTGGGCAATTTTAAAATAAAACACCATCTCAATATTCCGATGCTTTATTCAATTTAGAAGGATATAATTTGCTTGTTTACATGCGCGTAAGCAATTAATATTAATAGTGAAGTGAATAGCTGCACACATAGATTCAAATCGCCTCTCTGATTGGCTACCCTCCTCGTGCGATTATGCACTGCACCGGTAAAGATGATAAATATTGACGATGATAATGCTTAAAGAGGTGAAAATTGCCACCGAGAATAGACGCACAGGCGCAAGCAAATTTGAAAGTTGATGTCACAGTGACACGCTCTATGCTCCAGATCATGCTCTTTGTCGTCTCAATACTACTTATTGCAACCCACGTTTCATTCGGATATTCCCCTAAGTAAGTTACGAAATTGGAAGAAAAATTAGACTATTAAAAGTACAATTAACTAGTATAGTTTGAAGTATAGATGTAACAATATATTTGCAGATTATCATTTTAAAATTTTTTAAATTTTGGGTTAAATTACACATCAAGCAATCGAATTAATAACCACATTTAAAGAAAAGACTTTGCTACCTAACGTAATGCAATCAGCACAATTCATATAAAAACTCATATAAAATTCAAATTTTATATTAGTTGTCAAAGTTGAAAAATTCTTCATATATGATCAACCGCAGTCAATATCTGTTACTTTTGAAATATCGAAATTGAATATTGAATTACTTGATGTTCTATTTTGACACCACTGCTTCTTAAACTTTGACTTCAACATAGATTTATTCAAAAAAAGCTCTATCAAAATTAAAGCATTGTGACTTTGTGAAGCTTTCTAGTGTGTTAACGCCTTTCCAAAATACCTTGTCAATGCCAGCAAATCTGATGGTCCTTAACATGACTGAACATGCTGTGATTGCAAAAGTTAGCCGATTTGACTATCTTTAAATTTTCAGATACACCCCAGCTCCCTGACGAAAACCTTTTTTCTTAAAATAAAAAATTTAACTATTAAAATCGATAATAATTTGATATATTTGTCCTTGTCGATCTGAGATGTAAAACCATTTTAGGGTCATCACAGGTGGAACGGATAAATAATAAAACTTTGCCGATTCTATTTAAACAATTAAATTGAGTCTATTTGTATTTTCAACTGTTGGAATATTTTACTTTATACAAATTTCAAGCAAATATCGGCAGTTCTAGTATTAAAATATAGATTAAATTAACGATAATTTGAATTAAAAACAAATTAAAAACTTATTAATTCCATAAAAATGAAACTAGCATTTTATCGACCAATGTCTGTAAATAAACCAAAATATTAGAACGTTCAATCGTTCATTGGATCTAAATTCGATTATTTTTAAAATATCTGATATATTTTAGTTATTTGGCAAGCATGCATAGGATTCATTTTAAAGAATAGCGTTTCTTTAACCATTTCTCAAATTATGTGTTGTTATTAATATCCTCCAAATTCCTATAAGGTCAAATGACGATCTTAGCACGGACATTGGGCGGAAGATGCATGAATTTTGCTTTAGCTTAAATTTTAATTGAATTTATAACAATTCTGCTAATAATTGTGTTTTCAAATAGCATATCGTCTAAACCAATTATAATTTATATCGGGGAAAATATGTTTTCTTGGAATTAATTTGAAACAATATTTCTTCGAAGTTGAATTAATATAAAAAATATTGAAAGTGTGCCACTTCAAATTGTAGAATCTTTAAATAAATCTAATTTAAGTTTACCTTGAGCTCCTTAAATGTGAAACTAAAAAATGGTCCAGAAATTCGAAGTGTTGGGCTTTATGGCGGAAGCACAGAAAAAATAGTCTTCATTTAAATCTTTAATCTCCATTAACAACGAACTTCAGCTTTACCCCATTTAGTGGACAAGTTAGAGAGAAGCATATCACTATCGGTTTAAAACATATAAAACTATTTAATCAATTAAACATGTTATGAAAGGATAAAGAAAGTTTTTCGCTTACACATTATTAAAATGTAACAGTGCTGTCAGAACAAACAAATTTAGATTTTACTTTACGAATAAATTCATAAATAGTATTAATATCATCTTATTCAGTTGAAAAAATTTTGAGGTCATAATACCTTAAAAACGATACCGAATTTTCGTGCCAAATATACTTTTGAGACAAATTTATTTGAAGTTATGATGTTGAAAATATGTAAAATCATGATTTAGGTCTGATTTGTGATAGAAGTACCATCAATTGTAATTGTTATTTTATCTTAAAATTTGGATCACTTTCAAATTACTTTATTTTTGAAAGTATAGGAAGAGAAAATAAGCTTAATTTCATCGAGTTTAAATAGACTTACACAAAAAATTGCTTCTTTTTGTCACATGGTATAAACATATAGGAAATAAATGAGAGATATATAAAGACTTGTACAAATATAATTAAGCCTAACACTATTGATTAACTTTTTTATAATATTGTTCATATTGAATGTGGAAATTTAATGAAGTCAATATACCATTAGGGAGTGGAATTATTTTAATAAAATACATCCTTTAAATGTTTATTAAGTTAATAAAATCGCATCTTAAACAGTTTGCTAAGTAATGAAGAATAAATTGTTTCAATTTGTACTTATCAAACATATTATTACTTCATTTATCATTGATTTATCGACCATCCTGCCATCTGTTAAGTATCCATCAAATACGATTTAAAGATCATTTGCAACATGCGCGAAAATTATCATGCACAAATAATAGGGCTTTCATAACCACCAATTTAATTAATATCATGATAAAATAGTTATTCAAATAGAAATCTATATTTTAAAATAATTTTTATATGTTCAGTTTATAATTTACAGTCTCATAAATGTATTAATGGTTACTAAAATCGTTTTCAAATTTATGTTGTGAATTAATTTTTTACGCATTTTTATTCCTCAATATGTTACTTTATATATTGAAGAAAATGTAACCGTGTGAGAGTATTTGGCATGATTGGCATAGTGAATTTATTTGTCTTAGTATTAATTCTTTTTGAGTAGCTTCATTCCAATAAAGTGCATAACTTATTAATAGCATGAAATTATTAATATGATATCTTGCCTAATAGTACTAATTAATTTTGCATTAGTATTTCTTATTTTCAAGAGAGTCAAGTGGCCTTTTCCGTTTTTGTCGAAGTTTAGATGAGGGAAATTTATCCATCATTTTTTAAATTCATCATATTCAAGAATTTTCATAAAACAAAGGCATTATAAGTCGTAATTCAAAGTAAAAGATGCCTATGGTTTTTAGCACATTTGAGACTAGTATGCTAGGTTAAGTATGTAATATATTGACACCGTCATTAAACATGATGTGAATTTCTCACCCTTATTGTCAACTGGAGACGCTATGTTCAAGAAGGTGAAAATATTAGCCGCAAGAACCATTGCGTCGCTAATACAATATTTGATTCTTTTGCAGAAATATTCTGTTGAAAAGTGGAATAAGACTTTTCTATGATGAAATGATTGCTTAAAAAGTAGCATTTGACATATAATCAGTTATTATTTTCTTCCAAATATTTGATGTAAGTAAAATTGAGTGGAATTTAATATATCCGATTACCATCATTTTGGCATAAATCTTTGAACCATTTTCACTGAATAGTTCAAATAAGGATGTGTTACATTGAGATGAATATTACCAAGTAATTTATCGATTATGTAACGATTCAATAGGACTAAGTATGAAAAATTTGGTTAAGATATTTTGAGTTTTTATTTTCCAAGACATTTCATTTTCTCTTTGGTGAGGCCTGTGGACGAAGATTATTGTCCACATTTTATGAAATGTCTTGGCAAGTTCTCTGAAAAATAAAGATGCGAAGTTTTTTAATATTAATCAAATTTAGTACAGTAGATAGTCCGATAAATTGGAGTTATTAATAGAAATATGTATTATACGACAATAAAAAAATAAACATTGAGAAAGCTAATTGTTTTCAACTCGATTTCATCTTTTACCCAGTACTGCTCCCAACGTTTGTGGAACATTCTCTGGAACTACTCAGTGCTGCGTTGGATGGACAAAGAATCTTGATGGTCTCTGTAAAATAGGTAAATCATTTGATTCTCTCTCTCTGATTTTTCTTTTGACTTTAGGCCTTTTTTAAATTTGTGAATTCAAATTCAATTAAAAATATATTGACTAAATAATTGTGTAGTTTGCTTTGTTTATTTTTAAGCTATTTGTGATGGGAACTGTGGCGAAAAGGGCTCCTGCATTGCTCCAAATAAATGCAGATGTGAAGACGGGCGTGTAAGGGAAGAGTGTACAAATGAAGAGGACTACGGTTACCTAGCGGATGAACCGGGTATGTTTCCGGCAATAATAACAACAATGCGCACACTTTTTTACCTTAATGAAATCTTTAGAGGTAAACAAGGCACTTTATCCATCATAATACTCCAAATGTCAAACCAAGGGGATCATTCACCGTAAATGCCAATCATAAGAACCTCTAATTAACATTTCTACTTGCACGAGCTATTATATATGTCTTTAGCCGAGAGAAGCTAGGATAATAATGCTTTACCGTTACTGGTTAAATTCGAAATATTCAGCGGAGACTTTTCTGGCAGACCTTTATTCTAGACTAGCCTTATAAACGTGAACAGAAAAATGTGCATTTGTCTGGCAGTAGCACAAAGACAACAAGGTGGTTAGCAACGTTCAAAAATTGAAGGTACTCGTTCAGATAAATTTTGACTACTGACGAATATTTCACGGCAAAAACTGTTCTTTTGACTAATTAGGCCTTGTTATAAGTAATCAGAAAAGCATGATTTTAATGAGTGTAATGAAAGAGATTTTATTTTCATTTTGTAACTTCTAAGGTCATAGTTTTTTTAAATAAAGTAAATGCCGAGTTCTTTAACCAGAATTTGTTTTAAAACTCTAAGAATGTGTTTTGTATCATATTGCAGACCTTTACTGTAAAATCGATCTCAGTGAAAAAATTGGTAATTTTGTTTAAAGATGGTTCGAAAAGTGCTATAAAACCGTGACCTTCATTGTAAGAGAAAAATGCAGTTTATAAAGGATTAAATGTTAATAAATTTATATCTAAAATTATGAGAATTATTAGTTCTTTTATAGCTTTAAAACAATCTAAAATTTGCGAGGATATACAATTTACATACGGCTTTGTGTTATATAATAAACTCGTAAAATGTCCGCCTCGCGATGATTATTATTCCATCAATTAAATTATTTATTAATATTGAACTTTCTCCATAAGAATGATTTTTAACTAACCCACATTTGTCATTCACGTATTTTGTATGCAATTCAATTATATATAATTCAACATAATTTAAAATTCTTGTATCTAATGTTTATATTACTTAATTTAAACACTGAAAAAAAAACATTCGAAATGCCGAATGAAAGTAAAAAACTATTTTATTACAAATGAAAGTGTTTATGCGCCTTACTTTTAAAACTTAATCAAAGTCGAATTTTTAGATAAAAGGAAACCCGATTCTTCTGCTTCGGCAAATTTATTAATGTTTTAGCACCGTTTCGAACCAATAGGCAGAAACTCTCTCGTCCTAATTTATGGGTTCCAATAAAAAAATGCTCGAAAGCAAATCAATAAATTCACCAGTGCATTTGGTGTAAATAGATTGGAGAATGAAATATTTTCCTTTTTACCCCTACAAACCACGGATATTCGAAAGTAAGGAATCAGTTGATTCGCTGTCGGATCATACATAATGATTCATGTTTTCTACAAAATGGCAAATGCCTACACAAAGCATTTATCATTTTAAGTTGTGGAATGTTAGTATTTTCTTTTCTTCGGAAAAAAATGCTTTAACATTTAGCTATTCTTCTAAATTATTAGATTTCCTTGTACTGCTTTAAAATAAGAATCAAATTGGCTGATATTTCACTGATTCGATATGTTCTTTTGTAACATAATAAACGAGCTTAATTTTACATTTTGGGAGAAATTTATCTCAATCATCATTGTCAGCATCACCATCATCATCTACATTTTTGTTTTAATTGCCAGTGACTACGCTCCTTTCTGATTAGGAAGCCATAAGCGATCCAATTTTTTAATTGCGTTAAAGTAGTTATTAATTTAGGCAATAATTCCAAATATTTTAATACTCGTAATGACCTATTTGAAGTTTATTATTTTAAAGTAGAGCTTTGAATTACCAGTTACATTTGAAACTTTAAAGTTCCAAAAGGCTTTTTATACTTCTAACGTTTAAGAGGCTTAGTTTTTAAAACCATAATACAAAGTATGAAACCACTAAGGAGACTGAAGAAGTAAACTATTTTCAATACGAATATTGCTGACAACGCATTATTCGTATTATTGATTTTCTAACTCCTTTTACAATATCAACTTATTTATTCAATCTGTTAATCTAGCTCGCTGTCCGTCCAATTGCAACAATCGCGGAAGCTGTATCAATGGAAAATGCGTTTGTGAACCCGGTCTAGGAGGAAGCGCTTGCGATCGTATGTTTATGGCTTCAACTTAAAGTTAACAAATTTATGGACTACTTTTCACTACTTAGCTCCATCAATTTTTTAAACATTACGCCATAGAATTTGAAGATTTTGACGGCTGGCAAAATGCATTGCCATAACTTGCTGATATGTTCATCAATCAAACTTGTCAGGATTTGAACTCCCTCCATCTAATGACGAATCTACGTTCACCGTTTTCTGCCATAAATTAGCTACCAGTTTGCTTGTCATTTTAGTGAAATTCATCTTCTATAATAGCTACTTCTTCAACCATTTGCGATTGCGCAACAATTAGTTTATACATAATTTGAATTTTCGTCAATGCATAAATGTATTAAGAATTTGATTAAAACGAACTGAATCAGTGTTTAAATTAGATGGTAATTGAAGAAATTCTATAGTTTGAAATCGTGAATTACAGAATAACGGACCCATATCTCAACAGAAAGATGGAAGTTGCAGAAGATACGATATTACTTAACTAAACTAGTACTTGTATGTATAAGATAGTACTTAAAGAAAATATATTTGACGTTTTTTGATATTATGTTTTACTTATAAGTTATTCTGTAGGTTTGTATTTTACCTATTTTTTTTTATTCGTTATGCCGTTTTAGACAAAGCAGCTTATATTTTGAAATGTCAGGTTACAATATTTCTCCTTTTTTCCTTATTAGTGAAAGCAGCATTCTTCTTACCTTGTCCAATGCAATCCATTCATTTTCAACATTCAATATCCAAAGGTTTTAAAATATAAATAAAGGACAAAATTAATTGAATTTAACCAGTTGTTTAAGTAAACACTGAAGTAATTAATTTCTTCATTGAATCCGAACACTACCTCATTTAAAATAAAAAGACTTATTAGGATATTTAATTCTATTCTTCATTAAAAATTGACAATATGCTAATTTTGAAATATGCTTAAACAGTTCTCTCAAGAACTACAAAATCGTTATGATAATATAACATTTTGTTCATATTCCTTATCATAAATCAGAATTGATTAAGGAAAACATTTTTTCTAATTGTTAAATTTTTCACTTAGATTAATTGTGTAAAATCCGCAAGGTAAATTTTGAATTGCGCCAGCATTACTATTTCGTTCATATCCGATGATATAATCAAGTTTTGGCCTTTCTCTCAGATAAATTAATCTTGGAATTCAAAGGAATCCATGAATATCGTTTAATTTTGACTTAAATCGATTGCGTTGGATTAATTGATGGTTATACATATATTTCATTGGCGATCACACTGTTATTCATGATTATTCCATTTGACCTTTACTTAAATATCCACAGTTGTGCGTTGCTATCTAACTATGACCTCATTCAGGGACGTGTAATGTCAATTGTAAGTTTTTCCAACAATGAAAGATAGAGGATGCCTTTCTAAATTCTATCGAATTAATAAAGAAGGGTGATACTTTATTTGAGATATTAAAGGGTAATGATAAACATTCAGACAAGCTTAATGCCAGGGACTGAAGCCAAAATTGACTGTTAAAAAAACAGATTTTGAGAAAATTAAAGCTGTTTGAATATTTAGGAGATTTTCTTCAAGATGAGTGATGAATTTTCTGTTTTTAATGAATAGCGCAGTAAATTTTTATAGGGATGGATGAATTAAGCGACATGAATACAATTGAAAATGATCGCAAGACCGAACGGTAAAGTTTTACGGCATCTTTGTGATAACTTAACTATTTTAATTACGGCCGTTTGAGGATATTCAATTTGACATCACTCCATAAGCAAGTATCATCTGAAATCTTACTTCAGAAAGTAAAAAGTTCTATTCATCACAAAATCGGTATTTCTGGAAATATCTATTATTGAGAGTTGAATGTTTTGAAATTATCATCTACCGCATGTTTTAGAAGAAGAGCTGGGCCCGTGTTTCCTTCAAACAGAACGCGGTATTTGCAAAAATAAGATAAAGAATTCCGCCAATGAGACCACAATGATGACTCGAGCCGCCTGCTGTGCCAGTGTCGGCAATGCTTGGGGTGAATTGTGTCAAGTTTGCAGCAGTCTGCAATCCTACTGCGGCATTGGATATATTCTCGCAGATCACAAGTGCGTAGGTAAGCCAATTAACAAGTTGCATACTTTTTTTCTTAATTCAAAGTTCAGAAAAAATAGTATTTAGGGGCAAATAGCGAACAAGATAAGCTATAATTAAGTGAAATTACAAAAAGCACATATTATAAATTTATGCTGCCTATTTGTCTAAATAGTGAACCTTAGGCTTTTCTGCAATTATTAGACAAAAGTGCGATAAAATTTCCTCATCAAGATACTGATACCAAGGAGATTCGAAATGAGTTTAAATTTGCACGTTAATTAACCAAACCTAAAAGTTAGATCTACTAAGTAATTAAACAAATCTCAAATTATCTGTGGAAGGAAATAGAAATCTTGTTTACCTTCTACCAATACCTTTAATTAGGCGTTTTGGTTTGCAAATATGTTGTTGATTTTTTTGAAAATTTCAGATGTAAATGAATGCGAAATTTCAAATGTGTGCGCCGGAGGAATTTGCCGAAATACTGAGGGATCATTTGAGTAAGTTTCATAAATACCGTTTCTACCCCCCCCCCCCAAAGATTCGACTTTCTGCTGTTTTTCCGGTCTTAAAGGTATTGGGCTCAGTACCCTTATGTAGAAATAGACATTTTCGTAATGATACTTCACTTGAAATAATTTCTTCTGTTAGCAATCACAAATCTAGTAACTCTCTAAATATCTAGAAGTACATTAATATATTTCCCACGTACTGTCTAATCAATTATTCAATGACAGGCAGTATTTAGTTGACAGAGGCATTTTTTGCGGTTTTTTTGTTCCACACATATTACATATTACAAATAAAGTGGTTTCTCATAATCATTTTACTGAGTCAAATTTGACCCTAAAATGCGCTTGTGGAAGGTACAATTGCATTTATTAGTAATTCAATTAAAAATCTGAAATGTGGTTTCAAAAATGCCACAAACGTCTTTCATTTCTGCAGCTAATATGCAATTTCTACATTTATTTTCCCTTGTACATTGACCTAGCGTTTGAGGAATGCGAACAGTTGTACTTATAAGCGTATCATTTCCGAATTACTAGAGTGGAGTTGGTGTCAAAATTTTGGATTCTTTTGTGTAATTCTTAATACTCTGCACAAATGATAGCTTTTTGCAGTGTCTAGCGAACTTACTTGCCAAATCGAAGGAGAGGATGTGAATTCATGCTTAGTGTGATTTGCCATTTGTGCCTGTTAGCTCACGTCAATATGCGGATTGCTTGGTTATATTTTTTTTCAAAATTCGGCTCAATCCCAATGCTAATCATTCGTTTTTAAGGCTAGAATAAAATTCAATGAGCCGAACTGAAATATGCAGATAAATAAAATGTTTTTCTTTAAAAATTAACCTAAAAAATGGCCAGCACAAGTGAGGAAGATTTTAAGCAAGCAAATGTCAGCGAATGAGCGATAATACAATTTATTTGAGGCATTCGGTTAAAATTGATCCTGCAAAAACTGATCGCTTTAAGCAAATATGCATCCTCAAACTCCATTTGAATAGTTAAATTTACAATTTTTTGTAATTTTTAATGAAATATACTTCGATTTGCTTCAATTCCGAATCAGAGAAAATAGTTAAGTATATTTTTTCCAATACACGTGAATTGTATCGCAAATTATCTCTTACGAAAAATAAATCGATGTATATAAATTTGATTATGAGCAGATAAGGTTAAATGCTTATTCTTCTTAAACACTTATTTTCATTTTCAGATGTGATTGCCCCCGAGGATACGTTTTTGATAAAGTCAGTGTCCAGTGTCGACCGGCCCAAAGTACGTAATCAAATATAGATATTTTGTTTCCACACAAAATCATCAATCATAAATACTTCATACTAATTATTTCAAAGATACAAAGTTAACTTGTCTTTAACTAATTGATTGCCCAATCGAACATTTAGTATCGATAAAGTTTCAATTTAATGCTGGTTGGTTGATCATATAGAAATTGTACCAAAAAGATCTTTTACATTGGGCTACATCCTGAAATTGACCAGGTCATGGGTGTCAGGTTTCGAGGTCACCCTTCAGAAGTGACCAATAAACAAATCGTACTTAAAGTGTTTATTGGACATTTTGTTATTTACAAACAACTTGCAACTATAAGCACATCATAATTTAAGTTAAGTCATAATAATATTCACACAATATATTAAAATAGTTGGTATACAGTTGTTTAGTTTATTAATCGTTTTCCAATTAATTTTTGTAAATATAGTGATTATTTGAGAGAATACTTGCATTAAGTTTTATTTACCAAAACCCTATAGAAAAATCTCCGATTTTATGCACATTTAAACCTTTCCCATCTTTAGACGCTTGTCAAAAAAAGCCAGAACCATGCAATCCAGGTGGACGCTGTATACCCATTCAAGAATCCGCGTACTACTGTCTTTGTGATCCTGGATATTTTGCTGTGGAAGGAAGAACCCGTTGTAGGAATTCAATTGTGCTTACTCGGAGATTTCGTATGAAGTCTCGCGTTTCTAAGTGAGGTTTGTTTTACTTCCAGGTCAAAAGGAAGAAGTGACACTCAATTACTGTGAGATCTTTGAAGGAAAGCTGTGCAAGAATGGAGAATGTCATCCAACCGCGTCTTCATATGAATGCACTTGCAGTTCTGGCTACGTGCCTAGTCGTTTCAAGAAGCAGTGCATAAGTTAGTCACAACTAATTGTTATATTAAATCTATTGAAATAATCTACTGTCCTTGTACAATACAATTTTGGAGAAGACGTAGGGTGTGCTGATAACTCTCAACAATGGACTAATCAGCAAATGAGAACTATTTATTCCTAAACAAGTCACTAGAAGCATATATTAGCTAACGTGCTAACACCCTAATGATCATCGCAGAGTATATCCTGTCAGAAGGGAATACTGAGAGTAGATTTTATGATAGTTTGGAGGGAACAACTTCTAGTATCAAGCTTGTCAATCTTAAACCAATGGAAGGCAATAATTGCTAGCAACCTTGAAAAAATTCTTCAACTGCGTAATGCCATAAAGCATGTCTTTTAGACTTACTTTTAGTTTAATTAAAATTTTCCATATCTACTCAATGAAACGTAATTTTTGACTATTAAATAACTCAACGACTTGATTTTTTAATACAATGAAACAAAAGTGAATTGCTGATAGTTTCCAAATAGTACAAACATTAAGACCCATAAAATGAAGAACTTCATTTTTATTCATGCGGTTCAATCGTCATAGTATGGTGGTATAGACGTCGAAGGTCATGAATTTGAATCTCACCAACTAACTCATTGGCTACGTCTGCTTCACATAGAAATTGACAGAAATCAAGTCTGTCATCAGAAAGGCTACCTAGTGTTTCAAAATGGGTATTGGGAAACGCTAAGGAAGCAATAATAATTGTCCCCTAAAGAATATGTGCTTGTAGAAAGTAATTTTATTAAAAACTGATTTGAAAAAACTACATTCCAGGCTAAGGTGTAATTGGTGGAAACGAGTGAAGAACAGAGACGATGAATATAAACTACCCTATGCCAATTTGAGAGGACCAAAGGAAGTTGGCAGGAGAATGGTCAGACGGGATGAGTTGAGACAATTTTAACTCACACTAGGTTGCAAAGGGGTCATTCACTCCGATGATTCCACGGTTATAAGTGGCGCTTTACTAACTTGCCAAATTGCAGGGCATTAAATTTTTCCTCCCTATCCATTGGCGCATTCTGTGGTTTTTTAAGAAACCAATTCATTTAGTTCTTTTTCTCAACGAATGGCACTGGATGGTCTAGCGTGCATACTAGAAAAAATTTTCTTAAAAATATTAATCAAAATATAGTTATTTTAACTTAATAATATTATTACATCAAGCTATTCCAATTTCCCTTACAATTCCGAATACAATGACTAAAATTTTATGATTATGTGAAGGTTAGGGTGATTGTGGCACAGTGTTCCAAAATATAGCCTTTAAATTCAATTCTATTAAGGAGACTATTTAAGGCACAAATATGATCGAATGGACCATCCATTTAATCCATTTTATAACTATTAGTTTAGATCTATTAATTTTCATGCCGTTTTGGCGTATTAACTGTCATTTCTAAAGCAATTTAATTTAAAACTTACACATTTCTTTGTCTTTGTAAGAAGAAAAGATGACATTTTTATCAGACACAAATAAAGCAAAATTTAATCAATCATTATGTGCTGTCTAATATTCCCCTCTCACATCAAGAACTTTCAATTTGTCGACGTAAATTAGCAAGTGCTCTGGTAATTTCCATTTAAAATATAGTAAACAGCTTTAGTAAAAGCTTGTCTCATGCCATTGTTATAAAAGCACTTCTTTCTAAATTGGTATTACCGCAATTTTAGTTTCATTTTCACCATTTAGTTTCTTTACACCAACAACAATGAATTAAAAGTGGATGATATTTAACCATTGCTGTGGACTTTTGACACATTGGCCATTTTCCCATTCATTTATTGCATCTTCTTCCTATTGAAAGAGGCATTTTCTAAGCATAAAAACAACAACAATTTTTGACAATGATCAACTTTTTTGCACTTATTTATTACCTTTGATCACCTATTAAGACCTGAAACGCATTTGCCATAATTGCGATGTCATTCAGTGTCTTCCAATGTTACCTCCAATTTTAATTTTATTTTTTTGGCATTTGCAGAAGAATTTAATGCGTGCACGATGTATGGAAACAATGTTTGTGCCAATGGACAATGTATTCCGTCTGGTCGGAGTTTTCGATGTTTATGCAATCCTGGCTACATCCTTTCAAAAGATGGTACTCTATGCCTAGGTACGCATAACTTTGTGCAACATTTCTTTTCCTCGAATTTAACTCCTATTTTAAATATTGATTCCTTAATAATATTTAAGAACTAAATCCAAGGATATTAGGTCAATCTAAAAATCGCATTTACTCAATTTGAAAAAATAGGCATTTCGGTGTTCTCGGCAAGAGATCAATATGAATGAATGTATTATTTCACCTAAGGATAGGAAAAGTGAATTTCAAAGATTCCTTTCACTATGGACAGACTTTATTCGAAACCAAGTTTGGTGCCCCTCATTTTGTCCGTGTGGTAAAGATCTTTCAGATAATATTTTGTTGAATAAAATACATTTTGGCCTTTCTGACAAAGGGCCTTTTCGAAGGTATTTATGTGTTCCCCCAGGAACTGTTCATATTTCGTGTGCATTCAGTGACATTGACGTTGAGATAGGTAGGTACCCCCTACTGTCAAAGTTCACTCCAAGTATATTGTAAAATGGTCACAATTTGTCCATTTAAAACACCACTCTCTCTCTCTAAATGAAATCTAGAGATAACATTAACTATTGAAAGAAGGAGCTTAACATATTTTATGCATGTTAAGGTATCAATCATCATGTCTGTTGTTGAAACTAATAATTCAGCTGTCAACGGTTGAATGCACCACAGAGATGCTTGACTGCAGTGTGTAATTGGACCACACACAGAAATCAATCGCTTTTTAATATGCATAAAACGCCTTAAGTTACAAACTTGCGCCAACGCCTATGAATAGAGGTTGTAAATGCCCATTCCTGCTGAAATTCAGTGGTACTACACTTCAAGTTATGGATTCATTACATTTGTATGCCTTAGTTTATTCAGCGTTGCAAAATGACCAGCTGTTAATCTTCAGTCTCTTGCACTTTAAACGACACCTTTTCGCAACGGTCGAAAGGTAAACTTAGCTGATAAAATCAATGACTTCGAAATTCCAAATGCATGAAAAAAATTGCCCTTGAAAACCTGTATTTTACGCCATTGTGCACTTAAGTTACTTGTCGTACAGAAATAGAAGGTCATTGTGCAATATTATTATGATTCGTATCAATGGCCATTCACTCGCCTTAGTTATTTCCCAGCTATTCTTAAAATCAGACAGCCGATGGTAGCTCTTTTCTAGTTAGTAAAACTTCAGCAACCAAATCTTTCTATCCCTATCCAAACGCTGTGTAGATTTAGGCGATCTGAGTGGATTAAATATGTGAATGCATATTGTACAATTGAATGAATTCGAACTCGTGTTGTGTGGATTTTAGATAAATGTCAACAAATCGGACCATCATTGTGTCCCAATGGTTACTGCCTTGGTCGTCCCTATGGAGATTATGAATGCCTATGTAACTACGGCTATCAACCATCGGTAGATCGAAAGAGCTGCATAATTTCGAATCCCTACCAAAGTGAGAAGGAAGGCTTGATATTCACTTTTATTGAAATTGTTATTAACTTATCTATGGGTTTATTATTTTGCTTTAAACGATATTTTTTTTAATTTGAAGGTAGCAGTGTCAGCATTACTACTGTTTCCTAGAGATTGATGATTACTATTTAATTTGACCCAAAATAATGCGCTTCAGCTATATTGGCCTCTAATTTCCGAAAAAATTCTATGTACTTGTTTAGTTGAATCATCTGTTCATGAAGCATCACTAATACATTTTACAAATATATTCATTTAGATAAGTTGGGACTATGAAATCTCAAAATTGTCCTGTTTCAAGCGGCTTTAAAATGCATTGACACTCAGTTCTTTTTTTCTTCTATCTAGGCATGGAGGGATGTAAAATTAACAACAATTGTTCAGTTCTAAAATTGCTATTAAATTTCTAAAAAAATCCTCGAAAAAATTACTTTTAATAAATTGTTTGAAATAGAATTTAGAAGGAAATTGGACCCACATTAAAATATATAGTCATTTTCATTAAAATCTGCCCATCAATTTCCTTTCTATCCCCGTTTCTCAACGGCTATTCAAATATCGCATTCTTAAACAGTTATTTGTCCAAATTAAACGAAATAATAATTTTAAGATAGCAAACATTTATATTCAAATTACTTTATGTTGTAAATTTAATATGAAGTGGTTATTTCCAGCTTCAAAGCGTGATGTATGGAGTGGAAACGGTTATCGTGGTTCCTATCAAGCTGATTGGCCGCAAGATTTCAAACCAAATAATTTATATGGTAAGAAAGATGATTTTAAAGTACATGAAATGCAGCTTGATCTGTTTGCAAAATAATTGAAAAAACAAAATATATGTAATGCATAACCCAGTCTCTTTAACAATTTTGTCATTGTAACAATTTGTTCTCGAGATAGTGTAGGCACACCAATGCCATGTACGATTTGCAACTTATGGAGGAAGAAAAACTAAGTTTACTAATGTGAGCGATCTAGCAAAAGAATATTAGAAATTAGGCATCTAAATTGTTCCCTTAAATATCGTTGCTATACCGTGGGGTATAATTATGCCACCTTCCGTGAACAATGACTACAAGAGGTTCACTTGATATAATGAATAAGACCACTTGTTTGTTGGCATTAGCCATGCCTGCTTTAGGAAATCACAAATAATTCAAGGTATAACTGAGCTACTAAATTGTAAGTTACAATTAACGGATTATTTAGTTCATTAATTAGCTTTCAAAAGCCTGATTGCTTGCCATGGCCGGATATTAGCATACAACTTGACGACTTAACAAGCGGGAAAAAAAAGGAGGTTGAAAGAATGATTCTGATGATATGTTACGGATTGCCCAATTCAAATCTACAAGAAAGAAAATACTGTTTTAATGACTTTTCTTAAAATCTATTGATAAGTTTGGCATGGGCTATGTAAGCGAGCGTTTTGTGAGAGAAAAACAAAGAATGTGCGTACGCTTGAGTAAAATGAGACGTCCAAACTGCAAGAAATGACTCATCAAATAATAAGTTTGTCATACAAAGGCGCTGTTGCATTTGCTTATGAGCGGCTGTTTCCGATAGTTCTTTAAGAGGAAAGTGAGACTGGCTTATAATTGAGAAATAGCAACATGTTTCTTTGGTAAGTATGAGTGTTCAAAAAAATTAATATAAATAATAGTAAAAATCCTTTTAGGAAGGTCTTCGTTTTGAAGAAAAATGGCGTCGAAAACTGTTTAGTATGTGGTAATATCTCGCGATTGGCTGCTAACTCACCTAAAAGACCGACGAATCATCTAAACTTGTTCAAGTTGTCGATATCTTCTAACACTGATCCTCCCCAGTAATCGGGAGGGTAATAATTCCATTTAATAAAATTTGCAAAGGCGTTGGACATGTAGGATTTCAAGAAGGGACATTTATGAAACTGAAAAGCACCATTAATGAGTAATTTTTAATAAAAACAAACCAGACAAAAAAGGTATTTGTATTTGTAGCGCCATCGTCTTCAGCACTGACTTATCCGAATCCATGTGACGATAGGACCGTAAAACGCAAATGCACTGGTGGTTTCTGCATTAATTTGGGCAAGGGACAGTATGAATGCAGATGCTACAGCGGTTACCGTGCGGTGAATAGGAATACGCAATGCATTGCCGATTACAAAACCCAGAAGGGTAAGTTTGCTAGCAACCCCCCCCCCTCCTCTTCCACTCTCCCCTGGTACTTAACATTTTCTAGCAATTTTTATTCCTATTATTTACCTCAATGGCAAATATTTTATAATTCTCATTAAGATAATATTGTATTAGCTTCAAGAAACCGAACAAGTTATTTGTATTTTTAGTCAATTATAATTGGTCCTATCGAAGGCAGTACCGAAGAGTATAGGTAAGTTCAAAATATAGCCATCAATTCGGTACAATTTAAAAACCTTATTTTCCTGAAATATCTCGACTATCTTTAGCTGTTTATACTTAGATACATGCATCCTTAATTTAAGATTAAAAAACTAAAAACAATTATTTTTTTCAATATACATTTTATTGTAAATTATGCATTATATTATATAATCTCATTATATAAAAGATATATGATAGCATGCAAAAACATTTCAGATAGATGGAGAAATGACGTTGCAGATTTTTTTAACCAATCCAATAACTTCCTTTTAATTCATTTAGCCATCGAAACCAGTTTGGCCTGATTTCGAGACGAAAGTTATTGAATCTATTCCTGTTTCTTAAATGTCAATTTCTCCCCTACTCTTTCCAAACCCTCCACCTAAAACACAGATAAACAAATCAACATTCTCTCCTGCCAACTCAACATTTTTGCATGCATTTAGGTTTATTGTATTAGTTTGCTAACATTCTCTGAAACGCAAATCAATTGTGTTTTGCGATGCTTATGCTTGTTTTTTGTTTCGCCTTTTAATATTTCTCATCACTGTTGCCAAAATTCAGTTATCTGTTGTTTTAAAATATGACTTTCATCGAATATCCAACGGTATTCGTAAAGAGCCTGTATTTTAATGATAATACCTGATAAAATATATAATTGTTGGGCATTGGAACTATGTTGTCTATTGACAAAGCATAAGTAGTAAGTATTATTTAAACTAATTTTGATATTGAATTGTAAAATACCATATTCACTTCTTAAAGGTTCACTGCGAATCTTTTATTGGAAAAAACTGTTAGTTAGCGTTTGAGAAGTTTTCGGCATTGATTACGATCAGTTAGCAGTTGAAAACTGTTAACTGCTCTAAAGTTAGAAGCAAATGATGATAAAGAGCTTACCGACAATTCTATTGGTAGAAAAAAGATAAAAATTAAATAATAGGTTTACTTATTCAGTGTTACTGAACTGCCAAGCCCGCACATCTGTGACGTCTGGGGTCACGGATCGCATGCCTCTATATTCTTACGCACTGGGCAGAATGATTAATTTCATTGGTAACGTTCACTCCGTGTAGAGGGTGATTGAATTCTGATTTCCAAAATGGTGGCTCTACAAGAAAATCTCTGCCCAGGACATAAGATGAAAGATCATTCCAAATTTTTTTTGACCATAAAAGTACAAAACACACGGAAAATGGAAGCGCCAATCCATCAAAAAGATACTTTTCCAAGTTCGAAGATTACAGCAAATTATTTTAAGACCTTGTTTTCTTCCAATGAAGCGAAAAATAACTGTTCTAAATATAATAAATAAATGCATAATTTAAGTAGTAAATTTATAATCCAGCGAATAATCATCATGTTTAGCATGTAAATACAGGTTAACGAATTTTAATTCTTCAAGTCTTAGAGCTTCAAAATTTGAATTTCTTCCCTGAGTAGCGGATTGTTACAGATAAGTATGCACTATCACAAGTTATGAACAAAGAATAGGCATATGTACGAAACCTAAGAAGCTGAAAAAAATTATTATTAGACTAAAAAAGGTATTAGTTTGTGGTGCTGATCCCGGTCACCCAAATTGGAAGGAGTAAGTATGTTGCGGATAAAGTGTACACGTAGGGGCTTAATCATGATCAGAATGGATGAGTAGGTTAAACAAACAGAGGTTAATGCTTGGTCACTGTTTGTACGATCGCTGCACACAGAGTTGTACTGGTCGCTGCACACAGAGTTGTACGGCCGCACCTCCCAATCGTACGATCGCTGCACACAGAGTTGTACGGCCGCACCTCCCAATCCTGGTATGCAGGCATACGATGACGCACAAAGTGATAACGTGTCCCACATATCTGCTTCCATTTAATCAATCATATATTATGTTATTTTAATTCGAATTAAGTGTTCATTTTAAATTAACTTTCAAAGTAAGTGAAAGTGCATGTGTTTACGGCGAAATTTATTATTTATGTTTGACTAATTATTTTATTTTAAATATGATCACGTTCAGCCATTACGTAAGTCATCTGAAATTAATTGAAGACGAACGATTTGGCAATTAGTGTTGTTTGGGTTGATTCATACTCAGTCTTCTAAATTCCACTCAGTATGGAATTTTATTATTCTTTTAATTATTTATTCTTTTTGTTCATATGAGGTGATTAAGAGACCAGGGGGAAAGAAACATCGCACAAAATGTTTGTCCTTCAAGTTTGATGATTTTTAACTGAGCTGCTATTTTCACGTCAATAGCAGATGAAGAGGCGAGAGGGAGGAAGAGAGATGAAATCAGTCACAGCCGACTTAATTGCCGACGGCTAGTGTTTTAACTGCTTTAAATGAAATTCTAAATAAACTTGATATTCCATTCCCTACCTAGGCATTGATTAACAAAATTATTTAATGCAAAAGCTAAATACCCAGCTAGAATCTTAATATATTAAAATAGCCACGAGCAAAATAGGAACATTTTCCGAAATGAAAAGCGATACAATAAATGGTTGACAGGTAATTAAAGTAGCTACTTTTCATCTTAATTATTATCCAATTTTGGGTAAATATAAATAAAAGAAATTTTTTCTCTAAACAATCTTTTACTTATATCAAAAGTACATTTTATCCTTGATTTAATCTGTATTTCTTCTAAAGGGGTATTCACAAGGGCCCTTATTTTATTATGATCTTTGCTTAAAACACTGACAGAACACGTTTTATTAAAGACAATTTTGGGGCAAGCAACTATCGATTATAGCAAATTTTTTCTAATAAACTTTGAGGGGGAATTGACTGAACAGGTAGGAATCATGAATTCACACTATTAAGAGGTTTGCTCATTAGAATATCCGAGTTTTAAGGTGGCCTACCTTCGCTTAGAGGTATTTGTTTATCTCACTTCCTATTCTTATGATTAGAAAAACAAATTTTGTTTCTGTGGCTGCACATTAAAAATATAAAACCTATTCATTGCTAAAAGCATGATTTCTATGTTTTGATAATAACTTTCTTGTAAGTCTGGACTATGTCTGAAATATGAATTTGTCAAATATTTTAGCGCGTCAATTTGTATGTTAGACTTGAGGCATTTTGACTTAGTGCACGTCTCAATGCTATTTGATTTCATAGGGACACAGAAGACAGTTATATTAACTTATCGTCTTTGTGAAAAAATTGTTTGTTAGAAAGGGGGTTAACTGATGGTTTTGCATTTAAAAAATGAGCATGCTTTGAAGAATGGATGATATGCGCAGTAATAAGTCCTTACATTTCAGTTGCTATAGAAACAAAATAAACAGTATAAATCTAGACGAATCACTATCAAATGCTTCCCTTAAGTTTTGCGACTGATGAAACCACTAGTCTGTCTGAAGCTGTATTTGCAAATCACATAATTTTAAATTTGAAAATTTCAATAAAATTTGAAATGGCTCAAATATATCACCAAATTTAAAATATATCGGATCCTATTTGATTCCAAAACTATTTACTCGATGATCCACTATATGCAACTTTAACCCTTAATCATGTTTACTACATTCATCATTGAATTAGCAATACATCTTGCATTAGAACGGGAAAAGCCATTGAAAATATCAATTTTACTTATTGCTAAAAATGAAATAGTGCAACAAATTTGAAAATTGTATTGACAAAGGCTGAAAGAACATTTTTCAGTGAAACATTTAAACTTGCTGACCCCAGTTAGCTCTCCTTGGAAGGCGTATTCATTATTCATACAATTTGCATTTGCTTTATTATAAATACTATAAGTAGGCCCTAAAATTGGTTGAGCTATACAGGAAGATTATGCAAAGTGGGTGGATGAATTCTTGGTGGAAAAGTCATTTCAATTTTATGTTCAATTTCAAATGAATCAACTACGAATTGCCCAGTTTACATTTGAAAAAATGCTTACAATAAGCAATGACGCCAACAGAATAGTTTTAAAATGTGTTTTTTTCTGGTATTTTGAAACAAATTTCAATAATGTTTAATTTAGTTGAAATTTCAACGTTTATGAATTGAAAATTGTGTGGGAATTTTCAACACAAGACTATGAGTATGGGATAGAGACCATTCCCGCTCTCACACTATTCCACCTAATTCTTAAACAATCATCAAAGCTACATTCCTCTATACCTAGTTTTTATAAACCTACTCCTACTTGATCATAAAATGTTTTACTATTCAGGCAATTATGATCGTTTGTTTTAATGAATTAGCGACTAAATGTGGGAAGCCGTTCGTAATTCAGACTGTCATTTCGTTATTTGAAATGCAAAACACAATTTTGGGCTGTTATGCATTGCTGATTCTGTCAGGTTCCTATTTTTGTGTAGTAAAATCTACATAGCGCCGGTAGTTTCATTAATAATTCATTGTTAAATCACTTTGTATTCTCCTTCTAGAATTTGTTACCTGACGCTCAAAATTAAATTAGAATGTGTTGACGTTAATCTGATCAAATACAGTTTGTCTCCATCAAATTTGATGCTTGTAACAAAAAAACCGAATTTTGAATAAGGGTAATCAGCAATTCTCGGTTTGCCGAAAACTATAAGTTGCCACAGGCTCATTGGTTAGTCTTACATACTTGCAAGCTGATTATCCATCTCTTTTGTCTCATTTCAAGGATACGATTTTACTGACATTACGTGATATGAAAGGAACTTGACAAAAGTATATTAAGTAAACCGATGAAAAGAGTAATTGCATTACAGTGTGCGTGTATCACACTGTATAAATTCTGATGTAAACTTCCGTCAATCGCTTTTTAAAATGAAGTTTGTTCACTTAAAATGGAGTCAAGATTTAGATGTAATTAATTAAGCGGGATTGCTTAATGAAACTCATTGGAATAAAATTTGAAGACATACAAAATTATTTATTTGGCGTATCTCT